AAAGCTCCTTCCATAATAAATATGTTTGTCTGCAGGATGCCACAATACACATTTTTGGTGTTTCTTCCTCGAGTCCAGCATCCTGTCTCTCATAGTGAGCAGACAGATGCTTCCAGGAAGTTCAGAACAAGTCAAGAAGGCCACCGCTCCATTGCCCCATATCCTGTGCTGATCTGATATTCAAAGATTTAGTGCCCTTGAACATGGAGGATTCATATATAGACCACATAACACCGGTCTTGAAAGACCTACATTGGCTCCCAGTACGTTTCCAAGCACAATTCAAAGTGTTGGTGTTGACCTTTAAAGCCCTAAACGGACTCAGTCCACTATACCTGAAGGAGCGTCTCCACCTTCATCGTTCTGCCTGGACGCTGAGGTCCAGCGCTGAGGGCCTTCTGGTGGTTCCCTCATTGCGAGAAGCAAAGCTACAGGGAACCAGGCAGACAGCCTTCTCGGTAGTGGACCTGCCCTGTGGAACGCCCTCCCATCAGATGTCAAAGCGATAAACAACTACGTGACATTCAGAAGACATCTGAAGGCAGCCCTGTTCAGGGAAGTTTTTAATGTGTGACATTTTAGTGTATTTTTGGTCTCTGTGGAAGCCGCCCAGAGTGGCTGGGGAAACCCAGCCAGATGGGCGGGGTACAAATAATATATTATTATTATTATTATTATTATTAACATATTATTTCCAACAGTCATTTAACATAACTTCTTATCTCATACAACATTTTAGACTTCCGTCAACAACCTCTGATGATTTTCTGTTTCTTTATCACTTATTCTGCATTTCTTAATTTCTCTATTACTCTTAATTATCATTAACTAATAATTCTCCTCATAGTCTTTCTTGCAATATTTCGAATAATCCTCCTTGCAGAACTTCTTGCAGTCCTACTAGTGTTATCTGTTCATTACAGTTGCTTTTCAAATAGTTCATATATATTTACTCCAGTCTTCTAAGAATCTCTGGTCTCGCAGGTTTCAAATCCTTCCTGTTAATTTATCTAATTCTGCATAGTCCATTAATTTCCTCTGCCATTCTTCTTTTGTTGGTAATTCTTCTTGCTTCCATTTTTGTGCCAGTTGAACATGGAGGATTCATGTATGTTTCATGGCTTATAGTTGAGACATTAGATAATTTTCCTGCTTAGTTCCGCCAACAGATCTTGACTCTCACTCTCTCTCTCTCTCTCTCTCTCTCTCTCTCTCTCTCTCTCTCTCTCTCACTCACACACACATTTGGTATCTCCCAGTTTCTTATTTTTCCAATCTTAAATCCAGTTCTCTACATTTCCCCAGCAACTTGTATTTTTGTTTCTAAATGAAAACTTGTCAGTGCTGTAGTGCTGATTTCTCCTAATATACACATTTGTAGATAATATACATATTTTTGCACGCAATTTCCCACAAAACAATGCATTTTGTTTGTTGTTTTATTGCACTTTCCTTTAATAGATGTAAGCGTTGTTAGCTTTGAGACTGGCATCTCAAAATTTGGGAAAGCGTGCGTTCTGGAGGATAAAACCGTGTTTCAATTTGTGCATTGCTTCAAGAAGTGCAAATAAGGTAGTTTCTCATTAAAATGCAAAGGAAATCACATTTCTCCCCATCCAATGCACACTCATTCTTAAGAAGAAGTGTGCATGCACACGGAAACTTATACCAGAACAAAATTAGGTGCTACTGGACAATTTTTTATTTATTTTTATTTTTATTTCGACTGCTTCAGACCAACGCGGCTACCTACCTGAATCGTTTTCAAGAGGAAGGGCACAGAAGAAAAAACACCACTATATTGTAGTGTGATTTGTAACGGGAGCGTTTTCGACAATTGCAGTTTTGCAGTGTGTTATGTGTTGCGTATACACTTCCCCTAAGCAAGGTCTTCCAGATTTCACATGCAGGACAGACACCTTCTATGTATTTGTCTCCTGTTCCTTTTCAGATGCATCGGCTCATCCTATCATGCCTCCAAGGGAAATTCCCCATCACAGAGTCTCTGTGTACAAACATCTAAGGAGACCACTTCCTCTGTTTCTTTTTTTGTCCTGGGAATGCATACCAAAGGCATCAATACCTTTGTTGCAAAAGAGAAACAAGTCAGGAATATGTTTGTCCCAAGGTGGTAACATTCATGTAGTTTCCAGCCCAAGGTACTTTGCTGCCCGAGGCAAAGTGTAAGACAGCGCATTCAAGCTCCCCAATTCCACCTACAGAAGCTGATGCGACTGATAATTGAATCTTGCTTTTGACACTGCTGATGGGAAGCAGTAGTCTAGGTTAGGCAGCCCATGGCACGCTGAGTGCTGAAGAGCTGAAGACAGTTTTCTGCAGTAAAATCATAAAGGTAAAGGTAAAGGGACCCCTGAAAGTTAAGTCCAGTCGATAATGACTCTGGGGTTGTGGCGTTCATCTCGCTTTACAGGCCAAGAGAGCCATCATTTGTCTGCTCTGCAGACAGTTTTTCTGGGTCATACGGCCAGCATGACTAAGCCGCTTCTGGCGAAACCAGAGCAGCGCACAGAAAGGCTGTTTACCTTCCCGCTAGAGCGGTACCTATTTATCTACTTGCACTTTTGAGGTGCTTTCAAACTGCTAGGTTGGCAGGAGCAGGGACTGAGCAACGGGAGCTCACCTCGTCGCAGGGATTCAAACCGCCGACTTTTTGATCGGCAAGCCCTAGGCTCTGTGGTTTAGACCACAGCACCACCCACGTCTCTCATGGTAAAATCATAAAATCATCCAAATACATTGATAATCCGAACACATACAATATATAAAAGACTAGATAGCCACCATTGAATAAATCAGACAACTTTAGATGTAGCTTTAAAGATCTCAGCTAAGTACCCCGAAACAATCTTGCTAGTTTGGGGGGTATTATCCCTCAACAAATATTGGATTACTGACTCTTTGCAAATCAATATTTTGAGCTGTAAGGGAGTCACTAGGAAATCTCTGCGATGGGTGTCGAGAAGAGGGTAATCCAAAATTATGTGATGCATTGTATCTGGTGTTTTCTTATTACAGGAACAGAATCTGTTCTGGAAGGGGATGTTTTCGAAACCTTCCAAACAATATAGATGAGGGGAATGCATTTAGACGAGCTAGCATAAAAGCTTTGTGATGCAATGGAGCATCTAAATTATAAAAGTAATTAGGCATCCTAAGTAAGCATATGAACATACAAAAGGTTGGGAGGGGTAGAATTTTTGGATTTCATGATCTAGCAGTCTCTGTTTGATGAGAGAAAAGATCTGTGACTCATCCAATAGAAGAAGGGAATCTATTGCAATCCCTGTTTGCCTGAGTTTGAGGGTAATATCAGAACACAGCTGGTTAGTTCTAGTGGTACAGGACCTGTCATGCAGCGTACAGCTCTACCCTACAGTGGAAAGGAGTGCCCTGGAGACTCAGAAGGAACAGCTGCATCTAATGCCAGCTGTTTTCTACCTGAGCTCCTACCTGTAGCCCCTGTGGAACAGGGCCCTTTAGGGTGCAAGAAGGGCATGCCCCCCAACATGTCGGGAGGGCAAATCAGGACACCCACAACCATGCACTATCCTGCTAATAATAATAATAATAATAATAATAATAATAATAATAATTTATTATTTATACCCCGCCCATCTGGCTGGGTTTCCCCAGCCAATCTGGATGGCTTCCAACAGAATATTAAAATACAATAGTCTGTTAAACATTAAAAGCTTCCCTAAACAGGGCTGCCTTCAAATGTCTTCTAAAAGTCTAGTAGTTGTTGTTCTCTTTGACATCTGGTGGGAGGGCATTCCACAGGGCGGGTGCCACTACCGAGAAGACCCTCTGCCTGGTTCCCTGTAACTTGGCTTCTTGCAGTGAGGGAACCGCCAGAAGGCCCTCGGCGCTGGACCTCAGTGTCTGGGCAGAACCACTGCCATTTGTCTTCTCCCTCTCTTCCCAAACCACTTTGACAATCGCCAAAGGGCCTTTCTGGAAGGCGGTCGTGAAAAGTTTGGAGGTGACCTTTGGATGACTGCTAAAGAGATCCCAGAATATGCTCTGGTGCTCATCAGCAGGGTCGTATCTGACCCCGCTGTCTCGTGCCAGGGTGCCAGTCTTAAATGGGACATTCTGGGATCCAAACAGAAGCCAGGATTGGCTTCTGTGATCCATGATGTCCTGCTTAAAATGGAACAGGCTATGCAAGGAGCTCCCCGTTGGTCCTTCAAAAAGACCACCACTTTTATTGTGGCACAAGCTTTTGTGGGGCATAATCTTAGAGGTGCCACAAGACTCTAGGGTGCTATTGCTATAGTTGTTGTTCCTAAAACAGATCTATCATCTATCTATTTCCCTCTGCATTCAGAACACTTTGCATCCTCCGAGGGGAGTGAGGAGCTGGATTTAGGTCTTCTGTTCAACATGCCAGATATTTAACCTGACACGGCTTGCTCTAAATTCCCAGGAATTCATTAGAGAGGCAGAACGTCAGATGAGAATCCAACTTGACCTTGCATTTCCCAGCTCTCCCTCTCCCCCTGCTTTCTTGCTTCCAGACTTCAAAGTCACCATTTGGCAGCTTGCAGGCCCTCTAACCATCAGAAGGAGGGAGAATATGTTGGACATATTGCTGCTTTCTCTTTCCTCCTTATTTTTATCCATGACACAAGAATTACCCTGCCTAAGGAACTATTGCCGTCATTCCATTATCCTCCCCTCACCCCTACCTCCAAATATTCCCTTCTGACTTACCGGGCTTGAGATTCAGCAAGTTCCAAACCCCAATCTTGAATACAACCTTGTTTTATTTTTATTTTAAAATGTACTTTTGGAGCTAATATTGTGGCAACGTTGTCCTCAAAGGCGAAAGGGGACTCTCCCCCCAACAAAATGGGTGGAACGCAGGAGGCGACAGCTGTGAGGACTGAACCACAAAACACATTCCCACATTGGCAGCCAGCAAGCAACCTTCTTCTTTCTCCCATCCATCTCTGTCACACTCTCTGCCGGAATCTGCACCCAAGCAGATAGCTCAGTTGATTAGAGCACGAGGTTGCAGGTTCAATCCCTGTTTGGGACAGCTGCATATTCCTGCATTGCAGGGGGTTGGACTAGATCAGCCTTTCTCAACCTGTGGGTCCCCAGATGTTGTTGGACTACAACTCCCATCACCCCTAGCTAGCAAGGGATGATGGGATTTGTAGTCCAACAACATCTGAGGACCCGCAGGTTGAGAACCACTGGACTAGATGATTGTAAGGGTCCCTTCCATCTCTACAACTCTATGATTCTATGATATATGCACTCAAACACACATCTCCCCTGACCCTTGTCCCTGCTCCATCTTTGGCCTCCATCACAGAAACAGCGAGTGAGATGGGGGCCACCAAACAGCATCACCCAGGCACTTTCACTGGCTTCTGCTAGACAACTTTATCCCTGACTTCAGATTGCCAACTGCCGCTGGCTTCCTTCCATGAAAGTCCACTGGTTTATCCATTCACCCACCATTCACCTCGCCCACGTTTGAAACCTCCCACTCCCCATTGACATCTGGTGGGAGGGCGTTCCACAGGGTGGGCACCACTACCGAGAAGGCCCTCTGCCTGGTTCCCTGTAGCTTTGCTTCTCGCAGTGAGGGAACCGCCAGAAGGCCCTCGGCGCTGGACCTCAGTGTCCGGGCAGAACGATGGGGTTGGAGATGCTCCTTCAGGTATACTGGACCGAGGCATTATCACAGTTCAAGGAAACCATCCAAGCAAAACTTGAGGAAAGTATGGGGTGCAGCTGGTGAAGGACTTAGCCTGAGGAGAGGTCCTGAGGTCCAGATAGAAATAGCCTGAGGTTCCCACAGGCCAGAGGTTCTCTACCCCAATCTGAAAATAAAGGATTAAAATGGGTGTTTGCAACATTAGTTGTATCCAGAGTAGACCCATATAGTTAATAGACCAAGACTGAGGAAGATGGAGTTGACAGGCAGTGCCATTCACCTTGACAGGTTGGCTAAGTACAGACTCAGATGGTGGGGCAGTGCCTCATTTGTCCTAATGGACCAGCTGCCAATGCATGGCGGTCTCCAGATGTTCTCACACTACAGCTCCCATCAGCCCCAACCAGCATGGTCAGGGATGATCAGAGTTGTAGTCTGGAAACATCTGAAGGACAGCAGATCAGGTGTCCCTGAGGTAGAGAGCAAAGCTGAGCAGTCCCACATAGGCCCAGTTCCCATTGTGTGTTGCCTCCTTGTCAATGATAAATAACTATTAATTGAGTTCTCCGGCTCTGGTTTGCATTTGAATGCAGTATTCTTCAGAGCTGGGAATTTGGGAAAGCTGTGCCAAATCAATGTGATTTATTCAAGCCCACCCCTCCCTCTCCTTCAGCTGGAGGAAGAGAGCTTTAATTCAGGTGAGGTTTGGATGGCAATTTTTCAGCACTAGCAGGTGTCCGAGGGAAGTGGAACGTGCGGTTTTGTGCCTGAGAAATCCCTTTTGTGGAATTAGGGGATGTGCACAAATTCCCCTGATGAAACATGTTTGTCTCTTTACAAGGTACATTCAGCTTCCTTTGAAATGTCTTGTCATCTTTGCAGTTTTGCCATTAAAAAAAAAAATTGCAGTTTTTCACTTTATTTGTTTGTTTTGCATAGTGTGCTGATTCCGTTATAAACTCTCTGGCAGAGACTTAAGCCATGTGGTGATTAGGGCTTTAGGGAAGGGGTAATATAGACCTGGAAAGGGTGTCAGGCAAGATGACCGAGAGAAATATCTCTAGAAGGAAAACATCTATATGGATCCTTTTTCTTTCCTTTTCAAGGAGGGATTGAGTAAGAGAGAGAAATTGTAAAACAATGGAAGTACTGCAGATAATTTGGAGATGTTTTCCTTTCCCTCTCATAGTACTAGAAGCATCCAACATAGATGCACGTTGGAAGATTCAGAACAGGAAAGAACAAACACTTATTCACACATCTAAGAGCAATGGAATTGGCTTTCACAAAACATGACATTTTTTAAAAGAACTTGAGAGCGGGGGGAGGAATAGTTTGCCCAAAAAGGAACATTGAATTCCTGCATTGCAGGGGGTTGGACAACTCTTGGGTTCCTTTCCAGAGGTACTTTGCTCCCAGTACGTTTCCGAGCACAATTCAAAGTGTTGGTGCTGACCTTTAAAGCCCTAAATGGCTTCAGCCCAGTATACCTGAAGGAGCGTCTCCACCCCATCGTTCTACCTGGACACTGAGGTCCAGCTCTGAGGGCCTTCTGGCGATTCCCTCACTGCAAGAAGTGAGGTTACAGGGAACCAGGCAGAGGGCCTTCTTGGTAGTGGCACCTGCACTATGGAACGCACTTCCAGCAGATGTCAAGGCAATAAACAACTATTTTACTTTTAAAAGACAACTGAAGGTGGCCCTGTCTAGGGAAGTTTTTAGTGTCTGATTCTGTATTGTTTTTAATACAGTGGTACCTCGGGTTAAGAACTTAATTCATTCTGGAGGTCTGTTCTTAACCTGAAGCACTACTTTAGCTAATGGGGCCTCCTGCTGCCGCGCCACTGGAGCACGATTTCTGTTCTCATCCTGAAGCAAAGTTCTTAACCCGAGGTACTATTTCTGGGTTAGCGGAGTCTGTAACCTGAAGCGTATGTAACCTGAAGCATATGTAACCCGAGGTACCACTGTATTCGGTTGGAAGCCACCCAGAGTGGCTGGGGAAACCCAGATAGATGGGCAGGTCATAAATAATAAGTTGTTATTATTATTAATTGCAAGAGCTCTGCAGCGATTGTGCTTGCACACATCTCCTCATCATGATCTAACTACCCTAAACTATTTAAAATCACCAAATCCTTTCTTTTCCAAGTCGCCACCAATGAGGGCTCTGATATATTTGGGATTGGAAAGTTAACGCATGCCTCTCCTTGAGCATCTAACACACACCCGATACCTCCTTTAGATCCATCCAGAGTCTTGCGGCAGGCACCCTGAAATAAAACCTCAGTCACCACAGACCATCATAGAGGTTAAAGGAGGAACTACGGGCAGGGGACCACCCCTAGGGATGAGGTTGCTAAGGGACAGAGAAGCAGGACAGAGAACGTGCTCCTGCACTTTCGGCGGTCTTTGTTCACAGACAATGGGGGATTATAAATAGCAGATATTAGAAACACTGTCCTGCAGGAACCGTGAATAATTAGACAGCTGATGTACAAGTTCGGGTAGAGGGCAGGGAGATAAAGCCAACTCATAAATGAGTTTGTGTGGAGAACAGGGAGCTGTGTTCGGCAAGCTTCTCTCACGGAAATGGCAGGAATTAGAAAATAAATGTGCTTAACAATGCAATCTTTCGGGGCCTACTGGGACTGGTAGGGTGGCAGGCATGGAGACCAACAGTAGGGGGAACCAGAGGCTTTTTGTAGCTCTGTGGCAAAGCATCTGCCTTGCAAGCCGAAGGTCCCAGGTTCAATCCCCAGGGTTGGATATGGTTGGGAGAGATGCCTGCCTGAACTCCTGGACAGCCACTGCCGGTCAGTGTCAACATTACTGATCTTAGTGAACCAGTAGGCAGCTTCCTGTGTTGCAGTAACAGGCAGACCAACCCCCGACTGGGTTAAAGTATAAGAAGGCAAGCAAATGGGAACCTGCTGAGGTTGGTGGGTCAGCCTCCACTGGTCTACTCAGCAGTAAACCCTACTGAGCTGACTGGCACGTATTCCCAGGGATATGTGTTTGTGTGTGTGCATATAGAATGGCAAAACCTCAAATTATGTGGCTCTGTGGTGGTTTTATTTTATTCTTCTTTTTAGAACAGTTGTCAATGCGCTAATTCCATATGGTTTTACTGCTATGGAAATACAGACGAGTCCTAGGAAAGGAAACAGCAACATATGCAGGGGCAAAAAGACACACACCATAGAACGATGTGAGAAATAGAGACAGTTATTATTTGTATTATTTAGTTTATTTCTTTATTTGATTTCATATATATATGTATGTGTACTTCTGTATAAACTTCCATATATATGTATATATTCTACTTGATTGTAAGAACAGCAGCAGCAACAACAACAACATCAAAGTAGTTTACAAAAATCTTAGAACAGTGGAGGGGCGACTTTAAAATAATTTTTAAATAACTATTTAAAACATTCAAAAACAATTACATTCAACAATTGGCTAAAAACCGATGGCACATGGCAACTGTCTACATATATGGGTAAAGGTAAAGGTAAAGGGACCCCTGACCATTAGGTCCAGTCATGGCCGACTCTGGGGTTGTGGTGCTCATCTTGCTTTATTGGCTGAGGGAGCCGGCATACAGCTTCCGGGTCGTGTGGCCAGCATGACTAAGTCGTTTCTGGTGAACCAGATCAGCCCGCGGAAACGCCGTTTACCTTCCCACCGGAGCGGTACCTATTTATCTACTTGCACTTTGAGGTGCTTTCGAACTGCTAAGTTGGCAGGAGCAGGGACCGAGCAACGGGAGCTCACCTTGTCGCGGGGATTCGAACCGCCGACCTTCTGATCGGCAAGCCCTAGGCTCTGTGATTTAACCAACAGCGCCACCTGCATCCCTATGGGTAGGTTTGCCTAAACAGCAATGGAGGAGTAAAGAAGGTACATTTCGGACCTTGCAGAGACCACCAACCCCCTTCCCAAGTCTCTGGATATATTTCTGGCCAAACCTAGTTGCTGAGAATTCATACATTTCTGCTTTTGGTGAGTCAATAAAATATTTCCAAGCTCTCGGCTTGCGAGTACCCCTTGCAGAATCTTTCAATGGGAGAATGACTGGGTGTGTAAGCTGCAGTGCAGACTAAGCTAATTCTGCTTTGGTGAGCTATCTTTGCCTTGAAGTGAAGATACAGGATGCACAGCTCAGGCAGATGAGGAAAGGTTTGCAACCCACAAATGGGACTTGGATCTCGACGGTGAAAATGATACCAAGATAAATGTCCTCGATAGAGGTGGCCGACAGTCAGGAAGGCAGAATATATTCACATTGTGAGCCATTGCGCAGGCCTCCAAGCTTTGAGCTGTCCTAACTAGTGATGTGAAGAAATGGAGGCAGTGAGAGATTT